TTTTCTTTTTTCTCCCATACCACGCCCCCTTCTTTTTTTTTTTTTTTTTTTTTTTTTTTTGCCTGTACCAGGGATTGAACTAAGGATCTTGCACTTGTGAGGCAGGTGTGGTGCCACTGAGCAAAATCCCCAGCCCACCAGACACCTGTCTTTATAAAGACAGGCAGTATGACTTCTTCACTATCCTGGGCACATGCTATCTCAAAACTAACAGCATCTGGATAAATATTTGTTACATTCGAATGAATCTTGGTGATTTAGGTGTGGATTAATTTTTCTGAGTTGTAAATTCCAAGGGAGGCTGCATCTGGAGAGTTACATGAGCGGGAGATGCTAAGGAAGCCCTGATACAGGACACTAAGGATTGAGACTTTATTCTGTAGGTGCTTGGGGAACAGCTGATAGTTTCTTAAAGGTAAGGGCACACTGTGAAGGTGTAGGAGTTGAGTGACAGCACAGAACGGAGACATCATAAAGAAGTGCCATTGTACATGACCATGGTGGATGGAGGGGACTCAGGAGTGAGACGGGGCAACTAGGTAAATCAGTTCAACACAATTATTTATTAACTAATAATATTTGATTAATCTTGAAAAGCTCATAATATATCTACCTTGTTGCTTGTTTATTTCAATATTTCCTTCAAAGATTGCTGGGTAAAACTCACGTAGGAATGAATGACAGGGTTTTAATTTGCAAAAGAAAACTAGACTTTCTTTCTAGCAATAGGCTTTTGAATGCTGAGGGATACTCTGAGCGCTACTCAAGAGTGTGGCACACAGAACAGGAGGGTCAGCACCACCCAGGGGCTAGGGTCTCTTCGGGTGCTGAGTCAGGCTCCACATTTAACAGGAGCTGTTTGTCATGTGCAAGGCCCTGAAGTCTGAAAGCCCTGTGGGTCTACACCCTCTGGTGGCTGCCACCGGAGTTGCAGACAGGAGGTTTCATTTAGGTGACTCAAAGATGTACAGAAAGCTAACACTACGTACTGTATTAAACTATTTTATAATTAAAACTTGGTATTATGATAATTTCTAAATTAAAATAGTACACTTACACAGATATGAAAAGTAAAGTTATAGCTCGGAAATGCTTTGTTCTGAATTTTGCATGAAAACGTGCTTTATTTCACTTATTTGGGCTAATTCACAGAGATAATACTATTATGTATTCACTTTGAAAATATAATTATTGGATTACGAGTGATATAGTAGAATATTTTCTCTGTGCCAATACCTTGTGGTCCATATTGGTTCAACATCTTTCCCGCTAAGAAGTCAGGAGTGAAATGAATTCTTTCACCCTTATCTCCACACTTTCCAAACTGCTCGGTATGGGGCTCTTCATTACCTGGTTGATTAGGTTCAACCAGAACATCAGCCTGAGGTTTGAAAAAAAAAAAAAGGGAGTTTTATCATCACAACATTTCAGCAACCACCCTGGAGTATTTTCAGACAATTCCATTAGAGTCTGGAGTGTTTTAATTTTTTTAAAAAAATCTAGATCACAAAAGAAAAATAACTTTGGAAAAGGGATCTTCTCACATTTTTGTAGGTCTCAAGCTTTGGTTTCACATAGTCAGGTTTTGTCTTCCAGTTTTGAGGAATCAAAATGGAAACACTTTTGAAATAAAATCTTTTCTCTGTAGCTTCAAACAGGTATGGAGATGCCTTAGTGACCATGTCCTAGGAGGAAAGAAAACATATCAAAACCAACAATTATGACTGAAAATAGAAGAGGACACCAATGATTTAAATTTACACTGTTTTTTTGTTGTTTGTTTGTTTGTTTGTCTTTGGAAAGACTAGATGGGAAGGAGAAATGTGGAGATGGCATCATTGTTAATAGCGGCTAAACCTTCTCAGCGTTTACTGCCTGCTCTGTGACAGTGTAGCGGTGAGTGATCAGGCGCTAGAATAAGACACTAATCTTGGCTCAATCACTTGGACACTTTCAAATGAGGAGTCCTAATTAGCCCATTTATGAAATGAGAAATAGTATAGTGACTACCTCATAAGGTTATTGCTAGGAACAAATGAAATCAAACATGTGAGGCACTAGGAATGGTGTTTTCTTAGCACAAGTAAGTACTTCTATTGCATGTCTTCTCTTGGGGTCAGTGAACATTTCAGGAAGAAATTGAGACTGAGAAAACAGCAGTGGAGAGAAAGCCAAAGTGAGTATGACCTCAACCCTTGCCAAATCTTCAAATGATTTTAGGATTAAATACCAAATTAAACTAAAGTTAATGATACGTGTTATGGTGGCTTTCTTTTTTAGTATAGCATTAAGAAGTAGACACAGGGAGATGACATATTACATACTTTGAAGTTACATGTAACTTATTTATTTGAAATGAAAGAGCCTCAAAGTTAAATGCCTGTGCAGGCTCTCTGAGATGGATTTTGACCAAATAGTAGTGCCAGTCTTACAAACTCTTGCTATTGAAAGGGTTGGGGAGGACTGGGTCAGCGAGGACTGACAGCTAGTGTCATCGACAGAGGAAGGCAGGGAACGCTAGCATTTCCAGGTGGACAGAGGAGGAGCCAACAGACAAGAGTGGGAAGAAGCAGTCAGTGAACAGGGAGGAAATCAGAAACCATGGAGTTAGGGCTAAGAAAGCCCTAACAAGTAGCGGTAGTTCCTCCGAATTCTATTTTCTGGCTTCATTTCCAGGAGAAGATCCTCTGAGCTCTTACACTATTCACTTTCCATCTAGAGATATAAAAACGGGACATATGATTGATGACTAGATCTACTATTTATAGAGCAATGTATATATGATATATTAAAGGTATTTTTAAAGTTTTGAGATGATTTCAGACTTGCAGAAGACATGCAAAAAGTTGTACAGATTTACTCTTCACCCAGTTTCCCTTTATATGCATGCACTTTTATATTTTATCCTCGTAACATCCTTTTTTTTAGCATTCCCATTTTACAGATTACTCGTATTCTTTAGGCAATACTGTCATGTGATACTGCCACATTCTCCCAAAAGGCTTTTTCCTCTTATTTTTTAGCTGTTTGCAGTTGTATAAGACCTCTAACCCCTCCAACCTGACAAGAGTTTGGATGTCTTTGCCAGAACACCACCAAGCATCTGATTGTCTTCCCTTCTCCCACAGAAGAGGAAATAAGGTAAGGCACTGGCCCCCAGAAGCAGCCTTTAGAGGATACTTGCTTCTCGGCTCACAAAATGCAATTTCCTTCCTGGAAGGCTCCAGGTTGTTCTTAGCTGAGAGCTTGCATACTGGGCTCCTACCTGGTACCACGGGGATGGGGATTGTAACTAGGATAATAAGAAGAGAACCTGTTCATAAAGTCTTTTCCTATGCCAATGTCTTCCAGAGTTCTGCCTAACTTACCTTCCAGCAAGTTTAGTGTTTCTGTTTTAATATTTAGATCTTTAATCCACTTGGATTTTAATTTAGTACAGGTGAAAGATAAGGGTCCGGTTTTAATCTGTGGCAGGCTGAAATCCAGTTTTTCCAACACCATTTATTGAAGAGGCTATCTTTCCTCCACTGAGGATGGTCAGCTCCTTTGTCAAAGATGAGGTAGCTGAGTACATCTGGATTTGTTTCATGTGTGTTTATAGCAGCACAGTTTGTAATAGCTAAAACTTGGAAACAGCCCATTTGCCCATCAGTTGGAAACTGCATAGGGAAGATGTGGTTTTTCTATAAAATGGAATATTACTCATCCATAAAGAATGACAAAATAGATTCATTCATAGGAAAATGGATACATATTGAAGATATACTCCTAAGTGAAATAAATAAGTTGCACATGTGTAAATATTGAATAGTTTTTCTGGTGTGAATAAACTATAATAATACATAAGATCCTAATAAGATTACTGACATTGTGAAATGGGAAGAAAGGGGCTAAAGGTGGAGGGAAGGTAGGATGGGTAGGGGAAGGGTAATAAGGGAAAAGAAAAAAATGTGTGATCATGAAAAGAAGGAAATAAAGTGGTTGTAGATGGGGAGGGGAGGAGGGGGTGAAGGGAGGGCAGGGACAAGGGGAAAAAATGAGAACCAAGACCTGTCATGTAGAGGTACAAGATCCCAACAATGAATGTAACTGTACTGTATCCCTAAAATGTATCAATAAGCTCAATTAAAGCTGAAAAGAGAGAGAGAGAGAGAGAGCCTGATGTGTGCTGGTGGTAAATCAGGCAAAGGTATTCCACTCTGTATACCTCACAATACCCACCAATGATGCTGCCTCTGCATCAGTGTAGAATGAAGTAATTTTCCATGAAAAAACTCACAGTCAGTGAATACAGACATCTTCCTTAAATGACAATGGTGGAACTAATTCTGAGTTATGTGCACTGGGTTCATCTCACCCCTCACAAGACCCCTGATGGCTAAGGGTTATTATTTCTATTTCACACATGAAGAAACTGAGGCTCACAAAAAAATGAATAACTTATCAGTGTCATGTACCTAGAATGAGAAAATTTATGTTCACCTTACTGTGCTGGTTAAGACCATTACTGTTGATCATTACCAAAGCATAAATAAGTATAACTTTGAACTTGCCTTTATTTGTTGAATGAGTCCTTCATCTTCTGGCACATTGGGGTCAATTGCAATGACAATTCCTTCATAACCATTGTTATTCAGCTGAATGAGGGAATTGCTCAGGGCCGCTTCTAAAAGGTGAAGGACCAAGATGAAGAGAGAACTCTTAAATGATCCCATGGCTGCACATCCTACTTTGGATAATGTTGCTTAGGGAGAAGTCTTTCCTTACTCCTATATATATGAAAATAGGCACACATTTTTTCCCAACTTATCAAAGGTGGTTTATCACAGGACTTTAACCTCTGGACCTAAAATGTTTCATTATTGCATTTGTCTTTGGTATGAAAACAGCTACTGCTTAACATCAAGTTGTGTACTTTTTAAGTGTTTCAGTGTAGAAGGATTGATTGTTGGGTTTGCCTTCAGCTGTGCCTGATGTTTGTTGAGGGTGGGAAAGCCCATACCCAGTTTCCTGGAAATACTCATCCTTAGTATATTGAAAGATATGTTTACTTACAAATGTTTGTCCAGCCAGGAAAACTCACCCACCCAGGGCCACCACCAGCCCTTGCTAACCCTGCCCAACAGAGGCTTAACTTTGGCATGTTCAGTATCTAATTATAACTGATGTTATAGCTGATGTCTTTGGTGTTACTCTCCTCCAACTTGATATAACCTCAGCAGCTCTTGGTGCTCCTCTTAGACAATCCATTTGCACCAGAAGCATTAACAAGTAATATTGATAGTCTATATGACTTTATTTTTCCATATTTTTTTTGGGGGGGGGACCGGGAATTGAACTCAGCACCTTGCACTTATAAGGCAGGCACCACTGAGCTAAAGCCCAGCCCCGCATAGATTCTTTTAAATTTGCCAGACCTCAGATGAAAATCCACATTGGTCTGCCATTTTCTTGTTTTCAAACTATTTGGAAATATCCCTTAGCCAAACTTAATTTTGTCTTCAGGTAGTAGTAAACATTTATTTCATCTTGTCTGTCCCTTTTCTTTGACATTCACTGGTTTGTAAAATAAAATTAGTACTTACCCCTAACATAACCTACCTTGCTAATATAACCTTCAGTAATTAAAAATGAAGCCTTGACATAAAGATGTACAAGATAGCTGCTTTTATATAAAAAGATAAAATTTTTATATAAAAAGAAAAAAATGAAGATAAATAATAAATATATTATACATACCAAATTTTAAAATTTAGATTCAACAGTATCTAGATGCCCAACAATATGTGTCTTTGTTTGAGTTCCCTAGGAAACCAAGCCTCGGTCAAGCTTATAAGCTAATGGTTTATTGAAGAGTTAATTCCATAGCAAGAAAATGAGGGAAAGGGAAAATGACCCAGGGAGGGCTGGGAGGCAATTAAAGAAGTGTAAATAAACTGTCCAATGCCATACAAAAGGGAGATCCAACAGATCTGCCTGCAAGGGGATCTATCTTCCCTAGGGGGTTGTCTCCCAAGGGTGGACAAAGGAACCATGCCTAGAGCTGTCCACTGAAGGGAGGAAGGGGGAACTCCAGCTCCTTCTTGTCTTTTACAGTTGTTAATTCTCCTGGACTTCCTGGCTGTGTCATTCAACCCCTCCAGCAGTTGACTTGTTATGTGGAAAAGGCAGTGATTCCAAAGATTGCCGGGTTGACCTCAGGCAGCAGAATCACTGGCATCTGCAAGGAAAGGAGAATGATGGAGGTGGCTGAGGTTCTCACAGGCAGGGATTGGAGGATGTTCATTAAGATGTTGCTCTTTGAATCGCTCAGACTCACTTTTATCATATCCAGCTCCATCCAGTATTATAACACAGGGATTGCTTTTGTTTTTGGTGAGTGCAAGGTGTCTCACTTGTTCCCTTAGAGAAGTTACAAGTCAGATCATTGATAGAATCTGCTTCAAACTGATGGTTAATCACAATTTCCTCAATTACATAAGGCAGGTACTTGCTGCCAAGTTGCTCCCAAGGCCATTATAGGTACTGATCACCTCCCTCCTCCATCACCTGTTTCCCTCCCCTCGCCAGTGTTTTGGCTGATCTATTGTTTGATCACCTGGTGAGTCTTTCGTTGACCACCTTCAGTATCTCATTACCCTGGCCTGCCTTTGACAGTAATCCTAACAAGGCATTTCCGTCAGAAACCCTGTATCCCCAAGCTTCCTTTTAGTAATTTCTCTCGACTGATACCACCCTACTCTTCCGTTAAAATTTCAACTTGTTCTTATTGGGGTAGTAGTTAAATTCAGTCTCTCTTCCCCACCATGTGACTCTATTACAGGGATTCCTGTATCTACTGCCACCCTTTACCATCTTTAATGTTTGGATCTCTTGAACACTTCCAAATGATTGTTCCACTTCCACACTTTCAACTGTCAGTCTTTGTAGTTTTGACCACTTTTTCGCTAGAGTAGCCATATTGCTCAGCATTTTTTATTTGAATTTTCCCTGATTGCTTATATTTTAAAGCATATTTTCATGTACTTTATTATTTGAGTATCTTCTGTGAAATGGCTATTTAAATCTGATTTTAATCATGATGTTTTTTTCTTAATGATTTATAAAATCTATTTATATACCCTGGATACTAAGTCTTTTGCCGACGTATGTATTATAAGTATCTCCTTCAGTTGATGATGATTTGCCTTAATGAATGGGATCTCTGGATGAACATAATTTTTTTAGTGAAGTCCAATTTAATGTGTGGTGTTTTTATATCACATATAAGACAGATTTCCCAAGTTCATTAAGAAATTATATAATATTATATTCTATACATTTTATTGTTTTACCTTTAACATTGAGGTGTATGATCTATCTTTCTTTTTTGTGGTTCTGGAACCTTATAAATGCTGGCTAAGTGCTATACCACTGAGCTACATACTTAGCTGTCCCTTGCCCGGGTGTGTGTGTGTGTGTGTGTGTGTGTACACACTACTGGTATTTGATCAGAGAGCCTTCACACTGAACTACGTACCAAGCATTTTTTTTTCTTGGTACCAGGGATCAAGCTCAGGACCTTGCGCTTACAAGGCAGGCAGCGGAACCACTAAACCAAATCCCCAGCCCCTTGTACCAAGATTTTTACAAAATTATTATTTAAAAAATTTGACAAAGGTTCTTGCTAAGTTGCCCAAATTGTACCTCAACTTGTGATCCTCCTACCTGAGCCTCCTAAGTAGCCAGGAGTGCAACAATGTAGTATACTATGGTGCCAGGCACAGTACACCATTTCTGTCTCTGATAACAAATTCCTCCTCTTCTGTTATGATATTGCCTGTGGTACACTGGTATATTTTGAATATTGAAAAATTTAAAAAGGAAACAAATATAACATGGCTACTACAATCCTTGGCCCACAGAATTTATTCAATAAGCCAAGTGTCTTTATAACACCCCTTACCCACTGCTTAACTTTGGAAGAATAGATGGAAAAAGAGAAAACAAGATAGAGCAAGCTAAAGGCTTTACATCAGATGTCACCAAATAAAAATGCTGAAGGTTAAATTTAAGACCTCGAATGTTTAAGAGTCAATTTGAAGCTCTTTCCCACACACAGCCTATGATTCCTCCTACATTTTGGTTTCATTAATGTCTTTAGTAACATTAAGGTCGTGAAGAAAAAGACATCCGTTCTTGATGAGAAAAAAATAATACAAATGCTTTGGGAGGAAGTATTTATTAAAATATAACTGCATCTAGCTTTAACCTAGCAATTTCACTACTAGGAATTTATTCTACAGACACACAAGGTGCACAAGGTTACATACACGAGGGACAAGTTCACACAGGTTTATAAAAGTTTTTGTACAAAGGTGTCCCATAAACAGACTTTATATTAGCAAGTAACTGAACTACTCAAATGTCTGTTAATAAAGGAATAAATAAGAAAGCTTGTTTATTTCACATTTATTTTATTTGTTGAAGCCCTCTCAAACATCAATATTTTTCACACTAACAGTATTTTTATAACTGAAATCAATATATGAATAAAAACAAAAACACCGAAGACCATCACTTCAAAATTCCAACTCAGTAGCATAAGAATAGTAATCCTATCATCTCTACTTTTAGTCTCTTTTTCTTTACCTTCCCATTTCACTAGTTTTTCACCTTTTGTCTTCTTAATATTCTTGCTCCTTCCCTATACTGATGTGAAATAGGGTGAAATCAATTTACAAATTATCCCTTTTGGAGGGTTGTTCATTATATCGCTACTGCGTTCTGGAGCCAGGGAGAAGGAAAACACAGTCCATTGTACTAGGTCACTTCCTCCCTGCTGCGCTCTTCAGACAACTGTTATCAGATAGCAGCTTTTTGATAAGACTCAGCAGCCGGTATCTGGGAGGCAGACGGAAATAAAATTGATTCGTCTCCACCCATCCCAGGAGCCATCTCTCTGATAAGAGCTGTCCAGTGGAGGAGCAGAAGGGATTTAGCTGGAAACATTTCTTTGGACCTCGGGGATAAGATAAGATTACCTCCATTCATTACGTGTGGAGTCCTGGAGTGCTTCTATCATCATCTACGCTGCTTTCTGTGTTTCTAACTTTCATGTTCATTTTCTGTCTCTTTGTGCCTGCTCCATGCTTTTTTCACCTTCCTATGATACACAAGGAGAACTCAGATTCTCTTTTCTTTCAGGGCCACTACTCATTTGCCTTCATTTCTGCCTCCGTTCCTTGTCTTCTTGTAGTTTGCATTAACAGATCCTTACACACAGTGCAGCAGCCACCGAATTTATATACATCCTTCTTCTTTGTTTTCTTACCATGTGAATTTTCTCTTTTTTGAAAAGTAGCTTTGCTGAGAATAATTCACATATCTTACAATTCACCCATTTAAAGTATACAATCCGATAGTCTTTAGTTTGTTCATAGAGTTGAATACAATCTATTTTAGAATGTTTTCATCAACCATGAAAGAAGTAGTAATTCCCTACTTCTCTCTGACCCCATTCCCATCTTTTTCTTTAAGACCTTGACTCCAGGTGATCACTTGTCTACTTTCTGCCTCTCTATATTTGGACATTTGTTAATATTCTTTCTACCTAATGCAAATTGTATGTCCTCTGATCCACAAAGGATAACCTCAAATTATATATCTTGACCAATGGCATCTCATTTCTATCTCTTACTTCCCACCAACCACCCAAGCCCCTGGTAACCACTACCCCACTCTCTTGATCCATGACAGATCAACTTTTTCTGATCCCACATTTGAGTGAGATCATGCAGTATTTATTTTTCCATGGCTGGCTTATTTCACATAACATAATGTTTTGCAGGTTCATTTATATGGTCATAAATCAAGGGATTTTATTTTATTGCTAAATGATATTCCATGGTGTTTATATACTTCATTTTCTTTGTCTAACCACCCTTAATAAACTTAGGTTGACTTCATATCTTGGCTATTGTGAGTAATACTATTAACACAGGAATACACACATTTCTTTGATATACTAATTTTATTTCCTGGATATATATCCAGTAGTGTGATTGTTGGATCATATGGAAGTCCTACTCTTATTATTTTGAAGATCCTCGATACTATTTTCAATAATGGCTATACTAATTTACATTCTCACAAACAGTGTATAATGGTTTCTTTTATTCCATGTCCTTACCGGTCATGTTTCTTATCTTTTTGGTGTTAGCTACTTTAACAAGTGTGACGCGCTATACTATGCTCTTTTAGTATACTTCTGGTGTGCATTTCCCTGATGATTAGTAATATTGAACACTCTTTGTATACCTGCTGGCTGTTTATGTGTCATTTTTTATAAATGTCTATTCAGTTATTTTGTCCATTTATTTGTTCTGAGACAGGATTTTTCTATGTAATCCAGGGTGGCATTGCTTGCTGTGTAGCTCAGGATGGCTTCAAATTTGCAATCCTCAATTGCTCTCAATTACTGGCATTTCAGACATGGGCCACTATGTCCACCTTTATCCATTTTTAAAAAATACAACTTTTTTTTTCTTGACATAGAGTTGAGTTCCTTATAAATTTTGAAAATGTATGCCTTGTCTTAATTTGTTTTGTATAGCTACACCTGAATTCCACATACTGAATAATTTATTAACATCAGAGATTTATTGTACTTTTTTTTTTTTTTTTTTTTTTTTTATTT